GTGCAAACATCATCCCTGCATCTACTGGCACTGCCAAGGCTAAGGGAAAGGTCATCCCTGAGCTGAATGGGAAACTTACTGGCATGACTTTCCATGTCCCCACCTGCAATATGTCAGTCATGGATCTGACCTGTCATCTGGAGAAAGCTGCCAAATATGGTGACATCAGGAAAGCAGTAAAAAACAAGAAACTTATGAAATAATATGCAAAATGGATGACCCTGGAGGACATTATGCTGAGTGAAATATCCCAATCACAAAAGGACAAATATTGCATAGGGCCACTGTTGTAAAATGGGACTGACACTAGGATTGAGGGAAGACAGAAGGAGCGGAGGAATGATGTATTATACTGCATTGAAACAGATGAGGGAGAAAACTGTTTAAAAGGGACATGTGATTGGGTATTAATTGTCATGACAGGAATCCAGAATGAAGGCTGCACAGTGGAGTGGAGTTTGGGGGAGGGATTGCATAACAATGGAAGAGTTTTACTTTTCAAAGAGAAGAGTGAATTGGGGGAGGGGAGGGGATTGGGCAGGGAGAAAAGTGCAACAATGAATGATCGGAAACCCTAAATTTCTGTAAACTTTCATTAAAATGAATTTTTTTAAAAAAGCAGTAAAGCAGGCATCAGAAGGGCCTCTAAAGGGCATTCTGGGATACACTGTGACTGTAAACATGACACCCACTCTTAAATCGTTGTTGCTGGGGCTGGCATTGCCCTAAACGACCACTTTGTCAGACAATGAAATTGGCTACAGCAGCTGGGTGGTTGACCTGATGATTCACATGGTCTCCAAAGAAAAAGAGCCCCTTGGAACACCAGCCCGAGCAATAGAATAAGAAGAGAGAGAGGGACCCTTGGCTACTGCTGAGTCCTTGCCCCAACTCAATCCCCCTACACATTGAGAATCTCACATCCATGATACAATTTCTATCTAGTCCCCCTGAGAAGGGGGAGGAGCTTAGAGAGCCCATCTTGTCACATACCATCAATAAAGTACAGTGGACTCAGAAAAAGAAAAAAAAGAACCAATGACAATAAGGGAAACAGTTCAAATGGAACTGAAGGCCTTCGGAAAAACAATTTTAAATCCCAGGAATTGATGGAATCTCAATTGGCATATATTAACAAACAGATGTAGCTCTGGATGTACTCACTGGTCTATACCAAGAAATTTCAGGACAGCTAGCTACCGAGCCAACTGACTGGAAGAGATTAGCATTTGTTCCCATTCCCAAAAAAGATGGATGATCCAACAGAATGGAGATTATCAAGGAATGTCATTCATATCACATACAAGGAAAATCTTGCTGAAGATTATTTAAAAAACCACTGGAATAGGACATTCACAGGGAACTATTAGAAATTGAAACTGGATTCAGAAGAGACCAAGGGAGGCACAAGGGATATTAAAGCTAATGATCTTGGATATTAAAGCTAATGTCAGAAAATAGAGAGTATCATAAAAGTGTTTGCTTGTGTGTTATTAATCATGTAAAGATATGGACAAAGTACAGACAAACTAACTTTATGTTGGATCATATATTATGATTAATATTGAGAAGAATGGGAATCCCAGAACACTTGATTGGGCTTATGTGAAACATATACATACACCAAGAAGCTGTTACCTGAATGGAACAAGGAAACACTGTAAGATTTATAAATCAGTAACAGTGTGCATCAGGGATGGATCCTTTCTCCATATCTATTAACTCTGCATGCTGAGCAAATAATTCATGAAGTTGGACTCTATGAAGAAGAATGTGGCATCAAGATCGGAGGAAGACTCATCAAATGGAGTAGCTTATGGAGTTAGAGATAAGGGGAGCTCTGGCAAGAAGCTGTGCTGCAATCCTGAAGGTGTATTGTTCGAGGCCACCAGCTGCTCTGTGGGAGAAGGATGGACAATCTTCTCCTGTGTGATTAACTGTTTCTGAAAACCCACCAGACGGTCAAGTATGGGTCTGCTCCAACTCGACGGTATACAATCACCACCACCATTTCATTACAAAAACTTTTTGAACAAATACTGCATAATATGAAAAGTTGGTAAATGTGGGAGTTGAGGTCACTGATATCTACTACTTTCTATGGGGTGTGTGTGTGTGTGTGTGTGTGTGTGTGTGTGTGTGTGTGTGTGTTTATAGTAGTTCCCTGAATAAGATAGCTTTTTAAGAAAAAAAAAAGTTGTATTACCTGGTCAGTGGTTTCCAGGAATAAGAGGATTAAAAAAGCATTCATTCCCTGCCACTGAGAACAGGCTCTGCCCTTTAATGCCTCCAAGCTGTTCAGTTGTTCATTTAAAAAAGCACTTTTGAGCACCAGCTGTGTCCCAGGTAGGTCTGGTCTCTTTGTTGTTGCTGTTAGGTGCTTCCATATCAAGTACAGCTCATAGTGACCTTAAGAACAACAGATCTGAACCCTGTCCTTGTCTGTGCCATCTTCTTCATCTCTGACACACTCAAACCCATTGCTGCAGTCACTGTGTCAATCCCTCTGCTTGAGGACCTTGCGCTCCTTTGCCATCCCTCCATCTTCCCAAGAATAATGTCCTTCTCTGAGGAATAGCCTCTCCCCGCAACATGCCTAATTGCTGTGTTGGAGAAGCATACAGACTATCCCATGAACTGATAAAAGAACGAACAGATATGTTTTGGGGAAAGTGCAGGCAGAGTTCTCCTTGGAGGGAAGGATGGCAAAGCTTCATCAAACTTCGGACATGTTGCTAATAGAGGCTGTTCCTTGGAAAAGGTTCACTTATTTGGAAAGGTGGAGGGTCAGTGAAAGAGGGGAAGACCCCCACCCCCCCAGCAAGATGGTTTGACACAGTGCCTGCAGCAATGGGCTCAAGTGTGTCAGAGATGATGAGAATGGTACAGGATAGGACAGGGTTCAGACCTATTTTTCATAGGGTCACTATGAGGTATTCAACAACAAACCAGTTTGAAACCTAGACACTTCATGGTTCAAAATCAGGAAAGGAGTGTGTCAGGGATGCATTCTGTCCCCACACCTTTTCAATCTATGCAGAACAGATCATTCGGGAAGCAGGGCTTTATGAGGAGGAATGTGGCATAAAGATTGGAGGAAGACTCATCAACCTACGATATGCAGCTGACACAACCTTGCTTGCTGAAACTGAAGAAGACCTGAAGCACTTGATGCAGAAGGTCAAGGACTGTGGTCCTGAATATGGATTGAAGCTCAACATCAAGACAAGGATTCTCACCACTGGGCCATTTGGCAGCACCATGATAGATGGAGAAGAGATTGAGGTTGTTAACAATTACAGCTTGCTTAGTTCCATAATCAACATTCTTAACCCCAGTAGTCAGGAAATCAAAAGACAAATTGCATTGGGAAAATCTGCTGTCATGGACTTCTTCAGAGTGCTGAAAAGCAATGATGTCACTTTAAATACAGAGGTGCACCTAATCTAGGCCATGGTATTCTCAATTACTTGTTATGCTACAGAGAGTTGGACAATGACTAAGGATGCCATCGAGTTGTGGTGCTGAAGAAGAGTCTTGAACATACCATAGACTGCTGAGAAAACAAATTGTTCTGTCTTGGAGAGGGTGAAATCAAGTCTCTCCTTTGAGGCTAGGATTTTGAAGCTCCGCCTCACTTAACTGTGGGCATTGTGGCCTGGAGAGATCAGTCCTTGGAGAAGGACATCATGCTTGGATGGGTGGATGGACAGTGCAGGAGAGGAAGACACCGGATGAGATGGTTTGATACAGTATCTGGGGCAATGGAGGTTGGTGTGTCAGTATTAGTGAAACTGTTTCAGGACAACAAAAACATACTATATTGGTTGGTTTTTATTTAAGCCTCATGTTTAAAGTCAACAAGACTTTGGGGAGGGCCTTTGTATTTAAAAGTCAATTGTTATTGCATTTTGGAGGAGCATTCTTCTAAGTGGTACAGCACTCTTCTGTCAATACGCTGTACTAAGGTAACCTGGGGTTGCTGTGATGCTGAACCTTGTGCTATTGGGGTGTCAAATGTTGTAATGGTTACCCATGGTGGACAGTGTTTGGTGGAGCTCCCGGTTTAAGACAGGTTTAGAAGCAGGAGTGGCATCCACTTCCTAAACAACATGCCTCTGGAAACTCTGAACTTTGATAAATGATGATAATTATAGAAAGGCTGCAGGACTTTTGTTCATAGAATCATTGTGAGTCGTGCTCGACTCAACAGCAATCCACAACAACAACAGTGCTGCAGTTTGACACTTCATCCTCTTCTACCTTTTTTTTTCTTTATAAATAAGACAAATATACTTCGAATCTCTTACTGATCCTGTGACCCACCACAAGTAACCACTTCTTTGAACCTCAGTTTACTCATCTGTAAGATGGGGATGGTAGTGTCAAACCTCCCCCCCCCCCCCAGGGTTGTGTGAGGATGAGGGAATCCCGTTTAAAACTCCAAGCACAGCACTTGACATGAAATCGGGGATAGAAGCGTCATACTTTCTTACATCTCAGTGTTGGCCCTAACTACCGGGACCTGCCACTGTGGCTGGCCTCTCAGGAAAGTACTTGTCCCCCAACTTTTCACTAGCAAGAGCCTCCCTTTTTATATTTTCCCCATGCTTTGGAGGATTTTTGATCCCAAAGTACATGCATTAAGTCATTATTAATTTATCTTCCATTTTTTATTAATCAAAGACATAGATAGCTGCCCCTCAGAGCGTCTGATCTGTACAGCCAGCCGCGAGCAGCACGTTGTCGGCATGATTCCAGGCCGCAGCCAAGGACCTGCACAGCGCGTGTGGTCCGCGTGGCCTGAGGAGGGCTGAAGCAGCTTCATCTTACTCCTTTTCTTCTTCTAATTGACCCTGAGTCGCGGAAGCGGGAGGCTTGGCCCCGGGAGGAGCTGCATTCCCCCACGGTCACTGACTAGTGGGTTAGGGGCTGTTTTCCAGGTCAGTTTCTAGCATGGACCCCTTACAGCCAAGCCCTCCGCTCCTATCCCACGGGATTCACTCCAAATAGATGGCGTACACTAGGGCCACGCAGAAGAGTGTGGGGTTCACGTACTGGGAAGTGGCGAAGCTGTCTGCATAGGGGTCCCACAGGCTCTGGCTGGAGACCACCACGTCGTCCTGTCCTTTGCTCCCAATGCTGACTGAGCACACTAGCTTGTAGCGAGGTGGAGTGACCGCCTTCACCAAGTCCCGGATCTCTGCGCTCAGAGCTGCGGCCAGCTGGGCGCACCGGCTGGGGTGGTAGGCCACCCCGGCCAGCCTGGAGGGCAGGTGAGCTCGCATCAGCTCCTCCACCAGGAGGCAGGGGAACTTCACCTCTGGCCTGGCCGACCACAAGGGAACCTGGAGGAGGAGAGGAGGAAGGTGCTGGGAGGAGGGCGTTAGCAGCAGAGAGCAGAGTTTGACTTGGAAGCCTCGAAGTTGAACACAAGAACCCTGAACCCTGAACCTACAAGTTGAAACAATGGGATAGAAAATGGAATGAACTTGAACTTGGTGTTTGGAAAAAGGGATTGTCTGTATGGAGTTTCTTTGGCAACAGCAACACAAAAGGTTGGAATGGAATCTTAGGAGGTGGTGAGTTTTGTTGGGGGAGAAACAATTCGGGAAAAGGGAGAGAATGGCCACAGCGTGAATGTTGTCATTATCAGTGAATCGCTCGTGTTGAATTACTGTATGTTCTGCTGGGTCTTTTTTTTTTTAAGTTGTTTTTTTTTTTATTTTAATTGTGATTTTAACTCATTCAGTGTTGCACATTTTACCCCTTCTCTCTCCCTTCCCTTTCCCCGGTTCACTTTTGTTTTTTAAAAATATTCTTTCATTGTTGCACAATTACCTCCCTCCTCCCCAGTCCTCTTTGCAATGTACCTCTTTTTCTGGACTGTTGTGTGTATAATGCCTAATCATATATTCCCTTTAAACAGTTCTTTCCTTCATCTGTTCCAATGCAGTGTTCATTATTTATCCCCTCTTTTCTTTAGTTTTCTTAGTTTCTCCCCAACCCCCATGTCAGTCCAATTTTATAACAGTGGTGTTATGTAGTATTTGTCCTTTTGTGACTGATATTTCACTCAGCATAATGTCACTGAGGGTCACCCATGTTGTGTAATATTTTATGAGTTCCTTGTTTTTCAGTGCTGCATAATATTCAGTCGTGTGAATGTAGTTTTTCTACCCATTCACTTATTGATAGGCACTTGGGGTGCTTCCATTGCTTTGCTATTGTGAATAACACAGCAAATAAACTGCTGTGTCTTTTCAACAACAACAAAATAAGGTGGTTTTTTTGTTTGTTTGTTTTTTTGTTTTTTTAAATGAATACAGACCTGCAACACAGGAAAAGGACTTTGTAAACTGGATAGGGCAGTAATAATGGGAAAGACTCTCTTAGTTTCAAGTGGCTCCACTTAGAGTCTTAAGGCCTGTGACCTTGGCTTCCACTACCCTGTGCGTCCCTGGCATGGGCACCTACCTACCTGTTCCTGGACAATGCTGATGGGTTGGCGATGGTTCTGCTGGAGCTGTGACTTCACTCTGGAAGAAGACCGACTCTGCAGTGAAGAGAGTATGGAAGCAAACATTTAGTTAATATATGCTGAGTCCCAGGGATAAATATGCCACCGGTTTTAGACTGCTTCACAGCAGACTGAGCAAGGATCTGGGTGTGAAAAGTTTCTGTGGGTACTAGGGGAAGCATGGCATAGGGGGTACCTAGTGAAAGTGGTATTAATGGGTAGGTTACCCCTGGGAGCAAATAGAACTAATCCCACTATTGTCTCTCTGAGATGCTGTTCAGAATACACTCAGAACGGTCCCCTAGAGAGTGAGGGCACAGGGGATTTGCCCATAGCACCCGCTGGCTGGAGTTGCACCCAGGATACGACTACTTGGTACTTCTGACCTGTTGTGTGTGGGCTGAGCACATTCCCTGCCATCAGAGAAACTCTCAGAGACACAGCTACAAATGGATGTCTGCAGGAACCTCCAGGCCAGGGAAGGGTGATAGAGGTGATACATAACAGTGTCTCCTGGGTTTCTGAATTCTCACACCCTTAGAGGTGGGTTCTTAGGTGCCATCAAGTCAACTGGGACTCATAACAAGCCTATGGACAGCAGGTCTGAGCCTTGCCTTATCCTGAACCCACTCTCACCATCTCTGATATACTTGAGCCTATTGTTACAGTCACTGTGTCACTTGAGGGTCTTTCTTTCTCTGACCTTTCACCGTTCCAAGTATGATATATTTTTTTTCAAGGACTGGCCCCTCATGACAGCATGCCCAAAGCATGTAAGATGAAATTTCCCCGTGCTTGCCTCTCTAGAGCATCTTGGTTGTACTTCCTCCAAGACAGACTTGTTGATTCCTTTGGTAGTCCCTAGGAGATTCTGTACTCTTCTCCAGCATCACGATTCAAAGGTATCGATCGATTCCTCTTCTGTTCCCATTTTCCATTGTCCAACTTTCAGATGCATAGGAAGTAACTGCAAAGACCATGGCTTGCATATTTTGCACATTATTCTTTGAAATTATATTTGTTACTCTGCAGCACTTTGGAGAGGTCATTGATGGCAGATATTAGAGGCATAGCTTTCTTATTTTGTAAAGAAATGGAAATGCTCAGGAGGTGAAGTAGCTTGTCAACAAAATGATGTTCCTCCAAGAGGGCAGCACTCAGCCCCGTGTCCCCTCTCCTCCCGACCACCCTCACCTAGTGCCCTATCTGGCTCTCTCAGTCTTTGCCAATTCATCGCTGACTCTCCAGCAGATTTTCAGAGGCTGCAAATTGCAAGTCAGAACTGACTCATAGCTGACCAGTTGTTGATGTGTGCCGTCTACTTAGAACCGACCCATAGCCGCTGACCCTTCAGAAGTTTTCAGAGGCAGTAAATCACATCACACAGGACAAGATTGCCCATCATTCTCTCATGGAGCAGCTGATGGATTGGAACCATGAGACTTTGGCACTACAGTGCAACTTTTTACCGGTAGGCCACCAGGCTCTGATTAATGAACCTTTTTCTCCAGAAAATCTCTACGATACTGACCCCATCCAAGTAGCAAAGAAGCCTGTGCCTCATGTTTACGCTATGTTATGCCAACAACTACACTCTGTTGCGCACATGCACTTTCTCTCAAAAGCAGTCTACAACTTTCAGTGCCAACTTCCCCACTTCCATCCACTCCTCAACCACTGCAACCTGCTTCTATTCCCCTCTCCATCTCACTCACTCTCAGGAAAGTGCCTGGTGTCCAGAAGCCACTTCTCAGAAGCCTTTGAGGTTTCATCAACCCCCTCCTTTCTTCAGTTCTGTTTCTTCAACTGTGCAACAGGAGAGTAACTGCTACATCCCCGAGGGCTAAATAACATTTTGGGAGCCCTAGGTGACATAGCTGTGCTGCTAACCCAGAGGCTGCACATTGCCAGTGGTTCAAATCCAGTGCTGGCTCTGAGGGAGAAAGATGGACAGTCCCCTCCTGTTGGGATTTACAGCTTGGAAACCTGATGGAGGGTCACGGCAGGTCAGGACTGACTGGAGCCAACAAAATAGCACGTGTGCGCTCAGCATGCGTTTCTGAGCTCCTGCTTGCGTGCAGTGCAGGCTTTCTGCCAGGTTCTCGAGGACCCTGATTTAGGAAGTGGTTGTAGTCTCCTGGATGCTGCAAACACTTTGTATTAACAAATGTGAACGTGTTTGGCACTCTGCCCCATCCAGCGAGCGTGGGGTTCTGCCTATTCTTTCTGCCCTCCCTGGGCCTCGGTTTCAGAAAGGGGCCTTGCCCTGCGAAGCCCCTCCCAGCTTCGTGAGCCCCAGGCCCCGCTCATCCTCTAGGGAGGCCCTGGCGTCTCCCACTCAGCGGGTCCCTCTCACCTTGAGCTCCCGGGTGAGTCTACGAGCAGCAAGCAGGCCCCGGAGGCTGAGCAAGGCGGTGTCTGCATCTGGCCTTTCTGAAGCTCGACTGGCCACTCTTCTCGATGGAGGACCAGATGAAGGAGCTCTGCTCCCCGGACTAGGATGAGCAGCGGCCTGAGGGGAGACCCAAGCAAGGTGGGCAGGCTGGAGGCAGAAGGAAGATGGAGCCCCTGGCAAATGTGACTGTGGGGGTCTTGTATCTCAGCTGTCTGCCACTTCAGGCATCTATGACCTCCCTCTTTGAGTTTCATCCCAGCTTAGATCCTCCTTCATCCCAGCTTAGATTCTCCTTCTTCCCCACAAATGGGCCTCCAGTGAGTAGAATCAGTGCATGGAAGAGAACACCGAATTTTGAGCTACTCAGCATAGGGTCTCAACCTAGCTCTGCCTTTGGGCAGCTATGTGATCTTGGGCAAATCACTCTGAGCTTCAGTGGCTTCCTTGGTAAAGTTGGGGTAATGATATTCCTCGGTTCCAGAGTTATTTATTGAGTCCTTTCTCTGTGCCTGGTGCTGAAATACAGCAATGAATAAAATAAAACCTCTGCTTTGAAGGTGTTTGCGGTGGTGAAGGATACAGAAAATAAACAGTCAAACGTCTTAACGGGGCAGGGCGGGGGAGGTGCTGCTCCCACGGGAGGAGGAGGCTAACACCTCACAGCGTCATGGGGATTAAGTAGGATCATGTCCAGGAAATGTCTAGCATTGGGTCAGGCACACAGAAAGTGCTAAAGAAATACGTGATGAATAAATGATGTAATGAAGGCAATCCTTTATGGACTCTGATCACCAAACATTGAAACAGCTGATAAAGGAGTTCTGTTGGTGCAATGGTTGAGCACTTGACTGGTAACACAGAAGATCTGTGCTTTGAATCTATAATTTTCTTCAGTGAAAGTGCCCTGGCTATCTGCTTCTGTAAAGACTGTGGCCTAGGAAACCTTACGGGGTAGTTATACTCCATCCTATACGGGTTGCTGTAAGTCAGAATCTACTTGGTGGCAAGCACTAGCAACAATCCTTCCCTTGAGTCCTGAATGGCACTGTTAAGCACTCGACTACTAGCCTGAAGTTGGCAGTTCGAACCCACTCAGAGGCACCATGGAAGCTAGGGCTGGGGATCTGCTCCTGAAAGGTCACAGCCTTGAAGGTCTATAAAGCAGTTCTGTTCTGCACACACGGGATCACTGGGTCATTGAGGACAGTTAACCACAACAATCTTTACCTTGCAAAATTGTTACAGATATTAATTTCATTTACATTAACAAATGCTTAAACAGCATTTATTACATGCCACACATGCCTCTTCAAAACCCTTTACAAATCTCAACTCATTACTCCCTTTTTAGAGATGAAGAAATTGAGGCCCAGGAAGGAGATTAAGCAACATGCCCAAGGCCATGTACTTGGATGTGTATGGACACGAACATGTCTGGCAAAGAGTAGGAGCTCACAGTTGCTTTATTGTGGACCGGGGGAGGGCTAGGCCAGGTGTCCAGTGTGCGGGAGGATGCTGTGGCGAGGATTCCATGGTGGGTTGTTCTTGGTCCTCAAGATATTCTTGTGTCTGAATAGCTGAAGGGAGTTTGTGGAGGGTGGGGTGCAGTCGGGAGGATGAGAAAGGGTGAGTGAGGACAGGAGGGCCCAGCAGGGGAAGAGGAGACAGGAAAGTACCCCAGACAACTTCCTGGAGGTTGGAATCCTGGCACAGCCCTCGGAGGAGTCTCTCCTGAGGCAGGGAAGGGCACCCTGGCAGCTTCCCCTTATGTAACTGAACTTCCTCAACGTGCCTTGGCTTGTTCCAGGCTCCAGCCAGGCCAAGGCAGCAGGACTAATTGGGCATCGAATGGGGAGTGGGGTGGGGCCAGCAGGAGGCTTCCTTTGTGAGTCTCCCCCACCCCATCTACCTCCAGGTCTCTGCAGATCTTCCTGGAAGACCCCCTTCTGGAAAGCTTCTGTGTGTCCCCACCTGGTTGCTGAGTGGTTCTGGGTTTGAACCTGTCTGCCACTTGCAGGCTGTAGGCTCCTAGGTGGTTCTGCTCAGAGGCTGTAAGGACAGAATGGAGGACCTCTGGAAAGTGCTTGGGGGAACGCCTAGGTCAGTTCATGGCCACTAGTTTTCACTCAAGTTGCTACTGTAGCAGTAATCACGTCTATGAACAGCCTGCCAGGGCGCAGCATTTCACAGCTTATAAAGCCCTTTCTCCAGTCTCACATTTAGTCCTCACAGCAGCCCCAAGAGGTAGAGCAGGGTGAGCAAGGGAACGACTTGTCAAAGGTTATACAGCACAGCAGCGTGGAACTGGGGCATACTACATGGGGTGTTTGAATCCAAAACCTTTCCCTTAAAGGGTGGTAATACAATAACCCAGAAGTTTACACGTGAGAGACCTTCTCTGCCTGATCTTCCAATCTCCTGTTGTGGTGATGGTTTGATGTGTGAGAGTAACCCCTCTCTGTGAGGTTGAGGGCCCAGCAAGATGATGTAGAGGGACTCAGAGCTATGGGGGCCCCACGTATACCCCAGTCCAAGCCCCTCCTCACTTTCTTTCCTTCAGCCCAGGAGCCAGAGCTTGTGAAGGTCACGCCCTTGTCTGGGGCCTCTCTGGAAGCTTCATCCTTGGCCCGTCTGGACTTCTGGGACATCATTTCCAGTATCTCAGCCTTGGGCTCAAATGGGGCAAAGTAACTATGAGAGAAAAATAAGAACTCAGAGAGAGGAGAGAGGATGAGGATGATCCCAGTCCTGCTGGAAGTATGGCTCCTCCAAGTGCGAATAGCTCACAAAACCCCATTTACCACTCTCTGCACCCATCATGCCGTCAGGCCTGCTTCCTGCTTCCACCCTCATGTTCTGTCTTTCTCTTCGACCCTTTGTTTCTCTTTCTCCTGGTAATCCTCTGTCTCTTTCCGTGCCTTCTTGTCCTTTTCTCCACTCCTCTGTCACACAGGGCCCTGACCTACACATACACACTGTGCTGACCACCCCGACCCCTCCACCTCCACCACTCCCCACCCCCACCTTCTATTAGGCTCCCCCAGAGGGTGTCTGAGATGCAGCACACCACCCATCACACTGGGCATGTCGTACTGACTTCAGGTAGTAGAAAGAAGGAATAAGGGGAGTGGGGAGTGGCTGCTTCCAGAGTCCCTACCTCCTGACCTCTGTGCACAGAGCCCACACCTGTAGCAAAGTGTCTAGGTTCCCAAGGCTCTTGTTAAGATAGAGATGGTTTTCTGGGACTCAGCTGGGAACCCCAGGGGTAACGTGATCTCCCCGCTCCCTGACCTTCTCTACACCGTCTTTAAGTCTGCCCAGACTCCTGGGGAAAAGGAAGAGTTAGGCAGCACCTAGCTTTCCCATGGGCCTATCTTTGTCCCCAGGGACTAGTGACAGAATGAAAATGTGAAAACAAAGCTGACTTTGAAAGGACCCTCAGAATAATGGACGTTCAGACATCTGCACATACACGCGTGGAGATGTGCGCGTACAGATGGGCACACCCAGAGCTGCGTGAGTACACAGAGTCATTGCTGTTGCCACCTGGACACAGATGTGCACACCCAGAGGTGCTAACGGTACACAGAGAGACTCAGGCAAACAGATGCGCACTTACAAATAGAGAGATGACATGGTCCTTAACACAGATGCCCACTCAGAGAGGGACAATCCCTCAGAAATCTTTGTCTGTTTGGCAAGCTATATACGCACGAACAGGTGGGCACAGGCAGAGGTAGATCCATAGCTGTACCAGAGCAGATCTACACGTGCAGTGATGTATACACACAATGATGGACGTTCACACACAGACGTACATACACGCCGTGATGGTGCCGTGATTGTAAGCGTGTGCTTGGCCAGGGAGGTGTATTGTAGCAATAGACACACAGAGAGGTGCTCAGTGGTGCCTGCAGATAGCCAATTACAGTGGGACAGAAGTACATACGCAGAGACAGACGTACTGTGTGAGTCACACATAATGGAATGATAGACACGCATGAAGAGAAACTGCTATCAATACACAGTGCTGGGTGCCCTGCCACACAAGAAAGATCAGCATACATAATGCTTAACGCGTGCACATTAAGATGGGCACAGGTACCTGAGGATGACTGTACATGGATGGCACATGTACATGGAAAGAGGTGAGCATGCACAGTGGTAGAAACAGGTACACACACAGTAGGTCCCCTCCCTTGGATAGGATCTGCCCCAGATTCATACTCACAACCGTGTGGAGCTTGCAACCCCTCAGGGCGAGCCCAGCATCCACTACCTCTGCACCACAAGTCAGTCACAAGAGAGGAAGGTCATCGCTAAGTCAAGGAACTCCCCGGACGGTTGGCGTGCGTCCTCAGGGCTCACTTGACGCATCAGGACACTGGCAATCACTCTGGCACCGAGGAGTGACTCGTCATGTGGGTGGCACAGGCACTCCCTAATGTCGCTGGCTATCGTGGCCCTTTGTTCCTTTGCCACACCTCCCTTGGGGACCGGGAGAGGAGCCATGGCCAGGGCTGCTGATTGGCAGAAGGGGCAGCCAGGTGACAGGCGGCCCCACCCAGAGGTGACTTCAAGGAGATGTGGATCTGTGTAGCATTTGGAGTTCATGCAAACAGAATTCAGGACAAGAGAAAACATGACTGGATTCTGCAGAATGAAAAAGGATCCTAAGGGAATGTCATGAACAGTTATATGCCAACACATTAGATAAACCAATGGAAATAGATATAAGAGGAAATACACTCCTCGTGTCCATTTAGCTTTCACAACAGCCCAGTGGAATAGAGACCGCTGTGTTCTTTTCACGGGTGAGGAAACCAAGCCCTGGAGAGGTGAGATGACTTACCCAAGGTCATATAGCTAGTAAGTGGCAGAGCTGGAATTTGAACTCAACAGGTCTTGAGCCTAAGAGTTCTGTGCTTAACAAGCACATGACCACACTTCCTATCATGATTGAATTGTATTCCTTCAAAACATACTGTTAACTTGGCTAGGGCATGCTTCTCTGTTTAGTGTAATTGTCCTATGTGTTGTCAGCCCTAAGATGTTAACGAAGCAGGAATAGAGGCAGTTAGGTGCTGACGCAGACATTCTCTGTGATGTGCTCTGGGGCGTGATCAGTCAATCAGTTGTAAGGGGATTAAAGTGGGATGCAACACCCTCACTTAGGTCCACCCCTGACCTGACTAAAAGAGAATTTCCCTGTAGTATGACCTGCAACACCTTTTGTCTCAAGGGAGATAAAAGGAGGGCCCAGCAGAGAGGGAGGACCCAATCTTTGGGAAGATACCATGCTGGGAAATGTAGAGGGTCCACAAAGACAGGAAGACCCTCAACAAGATGGACTGACCCAGTGACTGCAGCAATGGCCTTGAGCACAGTGAGATGGTGAGGATGGCAGAGCACAGGGCAAGGTTCCAAGTGTCCCTGTGGGTCGCAGTCGACTCGATGGCACCTACTAACAATAATAATAGCCTAGGAGTAGGGCCCTTCTTTTGGACTAAGATCTCTGTACTGGGAAGCTCCTTGACAGAAGGAAAGACCAAGACATGGAGGGATTGTGGACCTACAAATGGTGAAGGACACAGGACGTTGCTCCAGAACTTAACAGACAGAGATTGAGAAAGCCGTCTCCTAACACTGAGTGTGGACTTCTAGCCTCCTAAACTGTGAGGGAATAAATTTCTGTTTGTAAAAGCCACTCTTTTGTTCCGGTATTTCTGTTATATTGTTGTTGTTGATTGCCATTGAGTTGAGCACGACTCATAGCAACTCTATGAACCAAAGACCTGAAGCCTTACTATAACTATCATCATTATCAAAGTTCATAGAGTTTCCAGAGGCATGTTGTTCAGGAAGTGGACAGAGCGGAAAGCACGGGCTTCAGACACAGATAAGAACTGCTTTAAGTTGACAAGGACACTTCTAGCTGTGTATCTTGGGGTAGTTCAGTCCATAAATGGTTGCTGAGTACTTAGAATGCATGAGGTGAGGCAGTGGGGATAGCCATGCAATGGTCATGCCTGGGGTAAACCGTACACTGGCACTACTTTGAAAGTCAAGATCAAGGATCTTCACAGCAAGACCATTGGCCTGAGTGTAGGGAACCCACAGAGGGGGACACTCAGCCATCTTGGGAGTTAAGGTCAGGATAACCTCCTGGAGGAACTTGGAAAGAGTGAGTAAAGAGTCCATCAAGGCAAGAAGAGTTGGAGAAACCCAGGCTGAAGGCACAGTGATAAACATCTGTGAAAGGTGTGAAAGAAATTAAAAAGGCAACATGTTGTTCACCAAGGAAGAGGGAGTTTGAGATGAGGCCTGAGCCATATCCTATGGAGGGTGAATGTCAAGGGGAACTCTGGGTTCAATCTTGAACTGAGGAATGACATGGTCAGACGAGTGTTTTAGAAAGATCAGAGAGTGCGATGGAATGAGATGGGATATGTGGGAGGATTCAAGAGCAGAGGGCCACAAACCAGTGTCGGGAAGCCACTAGGATAAGGCAGGTGAGAGTTGGTGAGTTTGGAGATTGATGGCTTCAAAAATAATGTTGGAGGCAAATGAAGGTTGGATCCCTGAGTCAGTGGGAGGGTTAGGGTTCTAGATATAGGAGGTGGGGGCTACTTTCACTGGGGCCAAAGAGAAGGGGTGTACGCGCGATGAAGGCTGTAAAATGAGCATGTCTGCTTTACAACTTGCTTTTATTCTCAACAGGTGGAGATAAGGTCAGCTGCAGGAGAAGGGTAGCTATCTGGCCCTGGGGAAACTAGTGACTATTAGGAATGGCTTCTGTGGGAAACTGGAGAGAGAGCTGAAGAGGGGGACAGAAAGGCTACGGGGCATGTGGAGACCCCAGATGAGAAAGGAGGCCAGGAGGTGGTGATGGCACTGACCATATGGTGCCAGGCCTTCCCTGCTGGCTGTGAGTGAGGTCTGTAACCTGCTGGTTGTGAGTAAGGTCTGTGCACTGCTGGCTGTGGATGAGGTCTGTGTTCTGGTAAAGAACGTGGTCAGCTGGGCTCATTTAGGATGAGGCTTGACACTGATCCCTGACTCTAAGCCTGAGAAGGAAGGTGGGACATGGAAGGGGAGAAATGCTGGGAAATGGAAAAGTGTCTGTGAAATTGAGAAGCAGATATAGTTGGAGAATGAGAGTTCTGTGAAGAGAGGTACTGTTAGAGTGAGAGGAGGTTTCAGAGGTTTGAGGTGCTGGTGGGTATCGAGGCCACAGTAATAGAAACCACAGTAAGAGAAGTCAGTGTTACGGCGGTCCTTCATCTCTTGACATTCTCTATTCCCATACAAGCAGACAGCATCCTCCTGCAACACTCAAATTACCTGTCTGACAGCTGTTGGGCCATGTACAGGCTGATTAGAAATGTCTGGGACATAATACCTTCAGAATAATCCGGTGTGAGATACAATGTTTGTGAAGTTTATGAACTTTGTAAATACACCACTATAATTTTTTTTAAACACCAAGATCTAGGACCTAGGACTAAAACCAAGGACTATAAACTTCATTAGAGAAAAGCTTGGAAGAACTCTAGAAACTTTAATCCAAAACGTCAACAGTCTTCCAACTATCCTGAAAAACCTACAATCAGGAGAGGATAAAATAGATGAATGGGATCTTCTAAGAATCAAATCTCTATGCACATCCAAAATCTTTTCCAACAGGGTAAAAAGGGAAGCCACAGATTGGGGGAAAATGTTTGATAATTACTTGTCAGACAAGAGACTTATATCTAGAATTTTTAAAATACTTGAGCACCACAACAAAATAAAGGTAAATAACCCAATTGAAAAATGGGCACAGGATATAAACAGACATTTCACCAAAGAAGACATTCAGATGGCAAACAAACACATGAAGAAATGTTCAAAATCCCTAGCTCTAAGAGAGATGCAAATCAAAACAACTATGAGATATCATCTTACCCCAGTAAGAATAGCAAAATTTAACAGAACAGCAAGCAGCAAATGCTGGCAAGGTTGTGGAGAAACTGGAACCCTTTATTCACTGTTGATGGTAGTGTGAAATGGTGCAACCACTATGGAAGGCTGTATGGCGCTTCCT